CCCCCGCCGCGCTCGGGCTCCGCGGGCGGATGGACCGGCGGCAGCAGCGGCGGCGGCAGCGCGGTGAGTCCGCCCGGCGCGGACGCGCGTGGGCTGCGGGACGGCGGCGGAACGCGGCGCGGGGGGCGCGGGTGGGCTGCGCGGCGGGGGGACACGCGCGGGCCGAGGGGGGCGAGGGGTCCCGAGCACGCGTGAGCGGTGGGGATGGAGGGTCCTGGACCACGCGTGGGCTGTTTGCTGAAGGGACGCGCGGTCCCTCGGATGCGCAGGGGCTGTGAGTGTGCAACGAAACAGAGGTTCCGTGCGGTGGGGGGGTTGGGGTCCTGGACACGCGTGGGGTGTGCGTGGTGGGGCTGGGTGTGGGTCAGAGCCACGCGTGGGGTGTCCTGCACACAAGCGGGCTGCGGGCACAGCGGTGCTCACAGGTCCTGGAGATGTCCGGGCTGTGTGAGTGGAGGGGCTGCGGGACAGGTCCGGGTCCGAGCCCCGCGTGGACTGCGTGCCGAGTGGGGCTGGGGGCTCAGCCTCCCCCCACCATCCTGCTCCTCCCCGCAGCACCCAGACAGGGCAAGGGGGTCCCTTTTCTCCCACCTGGCGCCCTGAGCCGCTCGCCCCCGGCTCGCATCCACCTCCAGCCTGTAAATCATTTGCTTTTACGATCCCTCCTCCGGCCCATTATCACACGAACTTTATATGTTTGGGGCTGGTGGCGGCCATAAAGCTGGCCCTGTTTCCGGGGCTGGCATGCCCGCCGGGCAGGCAGGGTGTGAGGAGCAGGAGGAGGCTGGGGGAACGCCGCACCGGGCCCCCCCAGCCTGGCAGGTAGGCAGGGAGGGGCGCAGCAGAGCCCCGGGGATGCTCGGCACAGTGGGGCTGGGATATAGACTGTTTGCAGCCCTGGGATCGGGCTGGAGCAGGGAGAGCTGGGAGCGAGTGGGGGGCATTGGGCTATCATGGGGTGGGGAAGGAGGAAGAAGTGGGGTCCCATCTCTGGTCATTAAGTCCCTGCGGAGGACCCACAGATCCTCTTGGTTCCTGGAGGGACATTTGCCTCCCTCCAGCCAGTGAGTCTGGGTCCATATCTGACCCTGTACATGGGAATCACAGGTCTGGGGGTGTTGGGGCCCCGGTCCAGTGCTGGGGGTGCTTCCAGGATCTGTCTTTCCCGGGATGCTGTGTCTGAGCCCTGAGCCCAGATCCTGAGTGCCCGGCGCTGCACGGCCGACAGGCAGCTCCTCTCTCTGCCCATGTCCCCAGGGCTCGATTCCTCCTCACAGTGTCCCTCCCACCCGAGCCTGGCTCATGGGTCTCCTCGTGTCTCCTGAGCTCCAGGTGTTGCAGAGGACTGGGGACACCTGGACTGGATCAGCCCTTTGGCTGGTCTTTATCTCCCAGCTCCGCTGGCTCTGTCACAGTGGGACCCTCTGCTGCCTCTCTCTCTCTCCCTTTGTGTCTCCCCGAGGTTCAAGCCCCCCAGAACCCTCACAGGGGTCTCGCTGGCCACGTCTGAATGCCCAGGTACTGCCACAGCCCAGGTGAGCAGGGACGGATACCCAGGTGTGAGCAGCTGCTGCCCGTGTGAAAACCAGCATCGTCCCTTGAATGATCCCCCTCCACGATGGGATCCGGGCACGAGGGACGTGGGAATGCACCGAGGCTTCTCCCTGCTCTCCTCTGTGTGGTCCCAGCTGCAGGCTGAGATTCAGGGGTCTGAGGGGCTTCAGGTCACCAGCCTGTGCTTTAGTAAGACCTTCCCAGGTGAGGAGCTCGGTGGCAGCAGGTGACAGCTCACGAGAGATTTGCCTCTGGTCTGTTCCCATCCCGACCAGGTGCTCACAAACCTACCCTGGGTGAGCCGTGCCCTCCTAATTCACTTGGTATTGCTACGAAAGAAACGGGTGTCCAAATCACTTGGGGGTGTCCTGGGCGAGCGACTCCTCACTGTCTGCATCTCCCTGGATGGGGGATCACGTGGAGCGGGCGGCAGGTGGGCTCCGTGTGCAGGAAAACCCCAAATTTGAGCCAATCAGCCACTTTTTCTTTCCGGGGAGGGGGATGGGAGAGACGAGATCTTGCTTGAACAGTCAAAGTAAGTTGCCTTTGCTTTTCCCTGCTCCTCAAGGTCAGCCGAGCTAATGAAAATCAATCTTCCCTCTGCCTCTCTCTGCTGCATGAGCAGATTCTACCTGTGGCCCCTTCACCTACTTGAAAGCGGCGGCTGCCGCGGCCGCCCCGTCCTGCTGACCGTGGGCAGCGCCGGAGGGAGCTTCCTCCTGGAACAGCGTCTTCCTGCGGGGCCGGGCACCGCGACAATATCCGTGTCACTGAGGGATCACTCCTTTGATCTGCCAGAGGAGAATGTCCTGGGGAAGCTGGCTGTGCACGGGAAGCGGGTGTTCAATATGGAAATCTGGGCTGGAAGAGCTGGAGAGAGCTTGTGGCTGGGCTCTGGCATGAAACAAGTGGTGTCTGTTCTTGGGGCACTCCAGGGTAGCTCCAGGCCGCAGGAGTGGGTGATTTGTGTCTCCCTCGCTCCCTCCCTCCCTCCCAAGGGCCAGGAGCTGTCTGGGTGGCAGCCCTGTGCCCACCTGCCCTTCTCCCAGTCCCGTGGAGGGTTCACCCCGGTGCTGGTGGTGAGGTCTGGCAGACGAGGGCTTGGTGATGGAGCTGATGCCATGGGATCGAACCTGCCATGAAGGGGAGCTGTGGAACATGGAGGTCCTCCCTGTCCCATCCCACATCCCTCAAAGGTGCTGACACTCCTGGACACAGCGGGTTCTGCTGCCAGCGCTGCCGACTCAGGAAGTGCCATTTCCTGAAAACAGCAGCAAAGGGCATGGCAGCAGTGTGAGGGGCAGGATGGGGCTTGCCTGCTGCCAAAGCTGCATTCCCTCGTGTCTCTGCTGGGGTTAAAGGGAAACCTGCCCTTCTCGGTGCTCCCGATGGGAGCAAATTGGCTCCCGGGCTGTGGATGGGATAACGGGATGCTGCAGTCCACCAGGACTCGGAGTCGGTGGGATAGTCCTGTCTGTGGGCAAGTGTAGGGCTCATTTGTTGCAATTAGTTGCAGTTTCATCCCTGGAAGTGTTCAAAAAATGTGTGAATGTGGCACGTGAGGACATGGTTCAGTGGTGGACGTGGTGGTGATGCTGGGTTGATGGTTGGACTTGATGATCTTAGAGGGCTTTTCCAGCCTTAATGATTCCGTGATTCCATTATTCTGATTTGTCACTGCTGCTGCATAAAATTAATTCTGTTTGCGTCCCCCATCCCAGTGCTCCCAGGGTGTGCAGGGAATGGCAGCAGGAGGCTGCTCGGGTGTGTTGGGAACCCCAAACCTTCTCTGAGTGAGATGACATTCTCAGTTCTGTCATGTCTCTGGAAAAGTCACCGCTTCCCGTTTCACCTCCTCTAGAGAGGGCCAGCAATGTGTCCCTGGGGAAGGAGAGGGAGGTGCTGGGGAGGGGTGGAAAATCCTCTGGAATGCCATGAGAGGCTCAAAAGCGTGGGGAGACACTGTGCCTGCTGGGTTTGAGAGGCAGATCCGACGGCCCTTTGCCCTTAGGATGCGTCCAGTCTAAGTGTTCCCAGGAGCAAAAGTACTCTGGATCTGATTGTTGGAAATCCTTTTGTTCTGAGCTCTCCAGCCAGCGTTTGCCTATTGGTTTAGTCTAGTGGAAGGCATCCCTGCCCATGGCAGGGGCTTGGAACAGGATGAGCTTTAAAGTCCCTTCCAATCCAAACTGGTTCAGGATTAGATGAATGGATCTGTTGTAAAATGTAACAGGAATATTTTCTCTCTTCCCACCCCATCCTTTAGGATTTTTAGATGTGCCCTGATGCCGCAGGGTCTCCTGGCTCCTGGAAATGCAGCTCTCTTCCAGTGTGGCTGAACTCAGCTGTGACGAGACGATGGACCCACCCGCTGAGGACTTCCAGCAGGTCCTGTCCATTGACCAAATCCGCTCCATCCGTGCCAGCAACAACTACGTGGAGAGACCGGCGGCCTGCTTCCAGCAAGCCCGCTCCAACCCCTCCCTGGCCCAGCCACCGCACAAGCAGGAGTGGTCCCAGGACCGCCTGGCGTCTTCCACCTTCCAGGACCTGCACCGCAGCCACAGCCAACAGCACCAGATGCCGCCTTTGCAGCCACACCTGAGCCATTCCAGCACGGCCAGCTCGGTCTCCCAAAGCACCACCGCCTCCGACCAGCGCCTCCTGAGCAGCCTGACGCCCTCCCACTCCGGGCACTCCCTCATCCGGACGCAGCCCCGCGCCGGCGAGCTGAAGGCGGAGGAGTCGCCGCTGAAGGGGGGCTCGGAGAAGCCCACCCTGCACAGCGGCCACCTCTTCATCTGCGAGGAGTGCGGGCGCTGCAAGTGCGCGCGGTGCACGGCCGCCCGCAGCCTGCCCTCCTGCTGGCTCTGCAACCAGCGCTGCCTCTGCTCCCCCGAGAGCCTCCTCGACTACGGGACCTGCCTCTGCTGCGTCAAGGGGCTCTTCTACCACTGCTCCACCGACGACGAGGACACCTGCGCCGACGACCCCTGCTCCTGCGGGCCGGGGTCCTGCTGCGCCCGCTGGGCCGCCATGAGCTTCCTCTCCCTCCTCATGCCCTGCCTCTGCTGCTACTTTCCCACCCTGGGGTGCCTCAAACTTTGCCAGCGGGGTTATGACGGCCTCAAACGACCCGGCTGCCGCTGCCAGAGCCACACCAACACGGTCTGCAGGAAGATCTCCTCGTCCAGCGGCACGCCCTTCCCCAAAACGCTGGACAAGCCGGTATGACCCTCCCGGCGAGGAGAAGCAGGCTTTGTTCCTCTTCCTCCCACTCCTCCTCCTCCTCCTCCTTCTCCTCCTCCTCTCTCCTCCATCCCCTTCCTCCCTCGGCTCCCTCCACACTGCAGTGCTCCCCCTTACCCACCATCACCTTCTGGGAATGAGACGGGTGAGCTGAGGGTCTCCCAGGCTTCGTGACACCCTGGCTGGGTGGCCGGGGGAACTGGCACCGAGCTGGGGGTAGCAGTGGTTTTGCACATGTGGGAGAGGGACAGGAGAGGCAGAGCGAGCTGTGGGTGCCCTCCCTGGCTGTATCCCACAGGGAAAGGCGACCCAGAGGGTCTTTGGGACTCTGCCCTCATGGGAAGGGCAACCAGGGGGCCCTCAGGATTCTGGTCTCAGCAGGTTTAGGAGCTGCCCCACAGTGTGGTCTTTCTCCATGGGGGAAAGAGGCAGCCAATGTATCCCCTGTGCAAGAGCCACCCGGGAGCCAGACCACCTCCTCTCACTCTTTCTCCCTCTCCAGCACTTTCCATGGGTGGCCTTTCTCCTCTCAGGTGGCTGTAGGTCCCCTTTCCCAAGGGGCTGGCATGCTGTGGGGTTTCACTGGTGGCAGCGCCTTCCCTCCCAGCTTGGGAGCTGCTGGGAGAAGTGAGCGAGCTCCAAAATGAGGTGGCACCGTGTTTTTCTGTCTCAAAGAGGAAGGGAAGGTGTGGGAAGCTTTAGAAACCTTCTGGCAGGGGAAGGAGCTATCGGAGGCAGCCCAGCCCACTCGCTCCTGCCCGACTGCAGCGAGGGAAAGGTCCCCTCTGGGATTTGGCTGAGAACAAGGAGCTGGTTGGAAATTGCCATTCATTTCTCCAGGCCTTGGAGGGCTGCCTGGGGTGGGAGCTGCCGCCTGGCTCCATCCCACCACCGAGCAGATGCCGCAGGCACCGGCTCCGTGCTTGAATCCCGATCTGGTACCTTCCACCAGCACTGAATTCACTTTAAAAAAGCGCGTGGCAAAGTCAACTGTCAGCAGCCACTGCTCCGGGGACTCCCAAACAGGGGCTTCTGTCACCCTGCTTCGGGCTGGAGGACATGGAGAGCACGAGGGGGTGTCAAAACTGGGGACTCCGATCTTCCCTCCCTGCAGATGTTCTATTTAAGTCCTCACCCTGCTGAGGGTTCTGCGTGGACAACCGGGAGCGGGTCTGGACCAAGCCCTGGGGCTGGGCCATCTGCAGAGCAGACGGACACCCGAATCCGGGTCAGGGCTTTGTGTTCCCTTGCTGGGATGATAATAAGCCCGACTGGTTGCTGTGGTTGGAGGGCTCCTCCTGGTCCTGAGCTCAGCCCCATCTCCACACGGCGCCAGCTCCCCGTTGTGACCCCACTGGCACCGTGCAGGGAAGTTTGGAGCTGGGATGGTGGCCTGGAGCTCAGCTCTGCCTGCCTGCCTCTCCCCTGAGGTGTGTGAGCACAGAGAGAAGCGAATGGTTCCCCTGGAGAAATACATGCAACACATCCCCTGGCTTCCCCAAGACCCTGCACCCTGGGCTCGCCCGTCACCTCCTCCCAGCCACCTCTTTCCGTAGAGTTCTGTGGATCTATTTTTGTACATATAGATATAACGTTAGGATGGGTAGGTCTCTTGCTAATAATATTCATGATACTGCTGTGAATGGTGCCAGGTGCAAGGTTTGGCTTCCTGGTACACTTGCACATGGTGGCAAAGATGATTTCCCGGTCTGTTTATTGCTAATCCTAGACCCTTAGTTCCTAGGTCGTCGGGAGAGGGGGAAAGGCAGGTGTATGGATTGTCCAGGAGGGTCTGCTCTGCAGTGAGGGGGTGGGATTCAGTGCTGGCTGTGGGGGGAGGCAGAGGTGGACTCTTCACGGTGGGATTCCTCTTTCCATCCATTTGCTGTCTGAAAACCATGGAGGATCGAAGCTCCCTCTGTTGCAGGGAAAAGCGGATCCAGGGAGTGATTCATCCCGTTTGGAAGCATTATTCATGAAATTCTGCGCTGGCAGTGCCTCACTCCCTTGACTCAAATGGCACCCAAACATTGAACTTGAGGTTCCCCGTGGAAGGGGGGATGAGTCCCATTCCTGGTGGGAAGTTTGCACCTGGAGAATGTTATGGACATGAGCGAAATCCTCGTCCTGATTTCACCCAGCCCCTGAGGGGTGATGTGGAAAGATCTGGCCAAAGATGGACAGCCTGCTTCCCTAAGCTGGGGAGATCTCAGGACGATGCTCTGGGACACAGAAGGATCTCCTGGCATTAGGAAGGAAGAGGGCCCCACATCCCCTGAGGCCACCCCTGAAATCTGGGATTATTTGGATTTTAAAGCCATGACCTTCTCAGAGGATGCCCTGTAGGAGTGTGAACCCCCCTCAGATCAGGCCGTGTGGCAGCAGATATTAAACATGTTGCCAATGTATTTATCCATATGCCAGTAATTGCTTGGCTCCCCGCTTCCAAGCCATGTTGGGGAGAGGGCCTTCCACCAAGAGGCACCTTCCTTTGGAAGGCTTGATTCGCTCTTCTATTGGTGCTGATTAAACTCCTTCTTCCTAAAAAACAGAAAATATTTTTAGGGAAGAAAGGTCCCCTTTTCACTGTGGATTGGAGGAACTGTCTCCCTTGAATGAGAATGTGAAACAGTTCATTGAAACTTTTTAAAGAGAACTAATGAACAGAATTTTCCAACTTGCTCTACTTTGATTTTTTTTTTTCCTCCTCCTTTTTAAACGGATCCCACTCGTAAATTTAGTTACCACCTCTGTATCTTTGCAATTCATTGCTTCCTCTCCTGATGGTGGAATGACTCAACATGTGAAGCTTCATCATTTTCACGGCCTCCCAAGTCATGCGAGTGCGGGGTGACCTCCCCCAGGTGCTGGAGCTGGGGGATGAGGAGATGGCTGTCCATGGATCAGCTCCCCGGAGCCAGCTTTGCTTGGCGCGGCTCTTGCAGCACATTTACCTTCAGGAATTGGTGGGAGGCCAGGACGCCTGCCAGAAGCCTTCCACCTAATGGGCTTTTTCTGGGTCAGTGCAGAAGCCCCATTTCTACCAGGGAACGGTGCCACGGCCTGGGTGAGGATGAGGAGCACGGCCAGGGCTCTGGAATGTCTCATCTCCAAGAAATGACAAACCTGTGAGATATATTTTATGAAATATTGGACATGTAGGAAGGGAGGAATTTAAAAGCCATGTAGATGTGGCACTTGGGGACATGGTTTAGTGGTGGGCTTGGCAGTGCTGGGGGACGGTTGGACTCAATGGTCTTTGAGGGCTTTTCCAACCTAAATGATTCCACGATTCTTTGATCCGGGGAGGAGGAGAGCCCCAGATGGGCCCTGAGGGCTGTCAGACCAGCTTTGGTTTGACTGAGGGCAGACACAAAGCTACAGGCAGGACTTTCAGGGGCTGCAGGAGTTCAGAGCTGTGGGGGCAGGTGCCTTCACCTGGGTTAGTGCTCCCTGCTCCACCTGCAGCCCTCAGCACGCTCCCCTGCCTTGCTTTCAGCAGGCAGAAGTTGGGATGTGCCAGAAGCTCTCCAGAGGAGGCCAGCTCTGGTTCACTGAGCTCATCTGCTGTGGGGAAAGCTGTGAGCAGCCTCGTATTCTTTCCCTGAGCTTTTCCTAACATCTTCTGACCAGATCCATCCTGCTCCCTCCCCACCTCCGGCTGCCAGACGGTTTGGTTTGCCTGCAGAGAGGACTCTGGTTCTGGTTGGGGTTGTGAGCCCCTTTCCTGCCCCACCCTCAGTGAGTCAGATCACATCTGCTCTGGGTGTTTGTTTGCAGCTGCTTGTCCCGGCAGTTGGGGTTTCTCTCTGTCCTGACGTGTCTTTTTTGGTTTTCTTTTGGGAGTGTCACATGTCGAGCCCTCTGCTCTCCCACAGGGATGGATCCGCTTTGTGAGGGAACATTTCTGTGCTCTGTGTCTCTGCTGGTCGTGGGCTCCTTTGCCAGGGAATGTGCAGGGCTGTGGGCAGATGCAGACAGAAAGAGATTCAGGTGCCAAAGGAGCAGGAGGCAGGAGCTGCTGAGCGGGACCTGAGCTCCCCCTGCTCCTCTCCCCATCCAGACCTCCAAAGCTCCATCCACACAAGAGGTTCTGCTGGGGTTTTTTCCTGGCTTCCCTTGGTCCCACTCCCCTCCTTCCCCACTGGCAAATCAGTCCCAGCACAGGTGAGGGGTCATGGGAACCAGGCTGGAGTCTCCCTTCCATCCCAGCTCCTGAACTCTCCTGGTGGAGGGGTAAGAGTGGTCCTTAATAGAGAGGGATGAGCCAGGAGTGAGGGGAGCTGCTGTGGGATTTGCACAGGGAAGGAGCCCACTGTGCCCCAAACTCGCCATTCCCAGCACCCCTGTTAGTTCCCTCTGTCTCTGGCCTTTGGGTGTTTTTAGCCTGGAAAAAACCTGGGAGGTCTTCAGGCAGTGGAAGGTCTGATGTTTGTGATCAGCATGTGATAAGGGCTGTGCCCCCATCCCAAAGCCCATCCTTGGTCTCTAACAGGATCCAGCTCAGGCTTGCCTCCTCCAAGGAGCCCGTGGAGCCCAGGCCTGCAGGATGCTCCCAGCAGCTGGACACACCTGGCCCAGGTGGGCCAAACCTGAGCTGGAACCTCTTGGGGCTCAGTCTGCTTGGGGGGATTGTCCCACGAGCATCGGGATCTCCTGCAAACTCTCCCAGAGTCAAGCTGGGAGCTTGTGCAGGTGGAATCTGTTCTGCTTGGGGTGGCATTGCAGAAGAATCCCCTGAGGGTAGAATCCAGGGTCTCTGGTCCCCTTGGAGGGGACTGCAGGCAGAAGTGGGATGTTGGGTGGATGGTTAGAGATCACACACCTCCGTGGGGCAGAGGGGAAGCGGGGCGAGGTTTCCTGGTGAGTCTCTCTCCTGCTGCACCCCAAAGGGCTGGACCAAACCCCCCCTGGAGACCTGGGCCCTGGGAGAGGAGGGTTCTCAGCCCTCTGTCCCAAGGTGTGTGATCATCCCAGAGCTGGTTCCCGCCTTCCCTGCAGAGCCCCTGTCCCCCTTCCCCTCCCTCTCTCCCCATCCCCATCCATTCCCTCGGGATGCTCTGCGTCCTCCCCAGGCGTCCTCGGCACAAAGTTCTCCTTGGAAGATGCATCACCCTGGGCTTCACAGGAGAGTCTCCTACCTGGAACTGAAGGCTCTAATCCTATATTTATGGGTACACAAATGTCCTGTACAGTGTGTAAAGATCCCTCCCCCGGCTCTCTCCATTCGGGCTCCTTTCTATAAGGTATAATATATGTTTATAACCCGATGACTGGTTTTTTTGACAATACTCTTGTACCTTTTAAGAGAAAAAAAAATAAAAAAACCAAAGTATTTATTTGAAAAGTTTATTTTAAAGATAAGAAAAAAAAAATAACCTATTTATTTTACTGCACCCTCTTCTGTTTGGTTTCCTTCTCTTGCAAAGCTGATAACTGTTACAGAACCACTGCTGAGATGAAAGAAGTGATTCTATGGTGGCTTCACAAGCCCACTTAGAGCAACTATTCAATAAAAATATATATTAATTTTGAACCTGGTCTCATTCCTGTCTCTGTGGTGGCGGGGGCATGGCCCAGGCTCGCTGCTGGGGGGCACTGGGAGGCTGGGCTGGGACTGACATTTGGGGGGACCATTTTTAGCTCCATCAGGGTTTGCTTGGGAGATTTCTCCTGATGTTCAAACCTCGAAAATCTCAGCATGGGCTTCCCTGCTGAGGCTGTCCCACATCCTTGAGGAAGGGCTGGCTCCTGTGGCAAAGGGCAGGAGCAAAGAGGGAGGGACTGAGGTAAGAAATCCCTGAGACTGGGGGGTCTCAGTCTCCCCACAGATTCCCACACATTCCCAAAGGCTCTCCTACTGCCAGAAGAGAGGGGGTGATGCCATAGGGCAATGGAGAGGAGGAGCTGCAGCTGGGACCTGGCTGTCTCTTCCCACCAGCTGCAGAAGGCACCTTGGAGGTGGGTTTAGCCCAAAATGGAAGAATCTGGGCCACAGCACCAGCAGTTGCTGGGTCAGGCTGGTGCCTCTGCTCTCTCTGTGCACATCACAGGTCAGTGGTTCACAAACTGCTGTGGGTACAGAGCCCAGACACTTCTTCTTGGCTTGAGGGTCTGTTGTTCACCTAAAGCTCTTCTCTCAAAAAACTGGTGGATCTTTATTCAAGCACTTCCAGAGAATTAACTCCTTTCACACAGATTCAGTGGCTGATGAATCCCATGGTTAGTGGCACCTCCCTTATTCCTGTTTAATTTGTTGGCTCCAGCTTCTACCCCTTGGCTCCAGCTGAACCTGTCTCCTTTAGCTGCAAGAGTCCTTTCCTAGGATGGTTTCCCCAGGCTAGATCTGTGCTCAAGAGCCCTCCCAACCTCTGTGCTTAATTAAAACCACGGATTCTCCATGTCTCTCACCATAAAGCCTTTTTTCAGGCTGTTTCCCTGGTTTGGAGCCCTGTCTGTGGCGTCGCTGGTATCAGAGCTCGCTTTCCAAAATACGTTCCAGTGCCTCAGCCCCAGCATCCAGGATCTGCCTCGGGGCTCTGGAGCACAGATGTGAGTCCAATCCCTGCTGTGACTCACTCTTCCCCTGCTTTTCAAACAAAAGATGGATCTGGGCCATTTGTCATCCATTGGCTCTTTCCAGTGCCAAAGTCCCTGTTTTTTGGACACAGCCAACCAGTTTCATTCCCCGATGTGCAGCCTTCTGTTAACTGTGTTAGAGCCCTTTTGGTGAGTATAGTACCACCTTCCCAAGCCTTCCCTGCCCTCAGCAGCTCATGCCACCAAATCTACTGCCATGTCCTGGTCTCTATTCCCTGTGGTCCTGTGGAGGAAGGCTCAGGAGCTGAGCTGTATCATGAGATCAGCAGAGAAGCAGAGCTAGGTGACCTACAGACCATGGTGATCTGAAATAGATGGTAATTGCTTGCTTAGACATTTTCCTTCTGCGTAAAGAAAGTCATGATGGTCCCAGAAATGACAAAAGGTGACAGTAATTGGGCCTTTTCCTGAGACTGGGGTGATGCTTTAAACCGGGCAGTCGTTTTCTGCTTTGCATCCCTGTGAAGATCAGGGAGAGATTCCCCAGGCTCAAGCCTCCCGTGGCACCTGCACCATCCCATGGTTGCCCCAGGTGAGCTGGTGGCAGCACCAAGTCACAGCCATGGAGCTGAACCACCTGGAGGGTTAACCTAGAACAAGAACCCACTTCTTCTTGGCTATCAGGGATGTTGTTCAGAGCTGGATGCCCCGTTCTGTGCTGTCCTAGGACCACATGGCCTGAGCAAGCTCAGCTCCATAAAACCCTCCCGTAGAGATGGACAAGGCTTCTCCACAAGCAGATTTCCACCTTTTTGGTGTTGAAATCTTCCCTTGCCCAGAGCAAGCAAAGTTAGGCCAAGCTCAAATCCCCCCTAGGATAGCCAGGTGTGATCCAGCCCTCTGCCTGTGTGGAGCATCCCTCAGCAGCCTGGGAAAGCGCCTGGCGGGCTCCAGGAGAGCAAGGGTAGGTGTTTGCAGTCGAGAGGTTGTCTGTCTAGACAGGAGAAAGAGAGAGAGAAGCCCTCTTAAGGAGTCATTCATCTCTTCCTAAGATGGCTAAATAGGTCAGATGACTCATGCCCTGAAAGTGCCTATTTCTCTCCGCTGACTACAAAGAGGGAAGGAGCTCCCGACGGCCCCTCTGTGCCTCAGACATCTGAGGGGGGCAGATCTGAACCTGGCTGTCATGGTGGTTCCATGGGCCAGCAGGGGAATTCACCTCTCCCAACATCCCCAGTGCTGCTTCGTCAGTGAAGGTGATGAGGAGACAATTAATTGAACCCCGGGTGGTTTTTGACTCGCGCTGAAGGTGACGTGCATGAAGGAACCTGGGCAGAGATGGGCAGGAGCAGGTAGAGGGTCAAATCTTGTCCCTTGCTGTTACCACGGGCTGTGGGGACCCTGGGGAGGAGTTTGGGCTGGAGTGATTTGCAGAATTGCTTCTCCACCATCAGAAACCCTTCCTTGCTTGGCCGTGGTCATCCTCATGTAGGGCTGAGGGCACCTTACTGCTCTGCACACCTCTGGCCAGAGGAAGCCAATGCTGCTCTGGTGTGGACAGAGACAAGAGGACAGCTCGGTGCTGCCCCACCATTGTTCCGAGCTGCTCAGTGGTGTTTGGGAATCCCTGAAGGCATCCCAAGGCCAAGGGGGCAGCTGTGAGAGCAGCCAGCAGCCTTTGGAATAGCCCAGAC